TTATTTACTATATTACATACATCATTATATATAGCAAAAATTTAATAATGATAAAAAATGATATAATTATTTAATAATTAATGCGTTATGAATAATCACAATAAATAAGTTTAGATGACCAAATTAAAATGGCAGAAAGATAAATCTCATTAACGACTGTTCCTTCAATCCCCTATTTTGTAAAATAGCACCTTTCTTCTTCTACTGAGAATAATTTCCTCCCTCTGCTTTTCAAATTTTTAGTTATTATTTGTTCCGCCTGAATTACAAAGTTTAGCTTTTTTTTCTATCCAATAAAATTTGACAATAATGCAATTTCAATAAACTTCAGAGCTACGTCCCTCCCAGAAAATTTAATTGTATCATTATACTCCCGGGACACACTAGTCAAAGTAGTCTTGTGGAGCACGCAAGGAATAAGAGAAGCTGTAATGTTTAAATATTCTAGCCCCAAAAGTGATTTTCAATAATCAAATGTTGTTTTTTTCTCTTCCCAAGGAAAGCACCAAATTTGTCAATCCAAATTGTCCAAGGGCAGTTTTCCTATCTTCAATAGTTATTTTATTTCTTATAATTATTTATTATTTAATATTAACAGTTAATAATAATCCATGCAAATAAATATGATATGGAAGTGAAAATTACCTATATTTAAAGTTCCGGGTTGTGAGTAGCTTTAGTTATACTTACAATATTAAAGTTAATATCACTGGTTATTAATAAATAACATATATATCTTTTCAGAGCCATACCAAATAATGCATCTAATAAAATTAAACATGTCTTCCTTTGTCTCGCGAGCCAGTATCGAAAATTCAATATTATCCAATCAAATTATTTTCATGCGATTTTTTTGTGATGATTAATATAATAAATTAAATGTCACAATGTGATGAAAATTTCAAAAATATTTCATAAATGTCAAGTCGTGCATATAAAAAAGCTTTAAGTAGTAAAGAAAATGAAGTTGCATTCAAAAAAATAATAGATCATAAAAGTAAAGAGAAGGAGGAGGATAATATGGAAGAGAAGGAGGAAGTAGAAGAAGAATCAGATAAAGAACCGCAACAAAAACGTAATTTATTTGAATTAGTGAGTAGTAAAATACTATCCTTTATTCATAATAAAATTTCAAGTGAAAATATTGATCTCCTACTTGCAAATTTAGTTGATTGATGATGATAATGAAGAAATACAAGTAGATAATCAAGATGAGCAAAATTCAGACGATAATAACATTAATTCTAACAAGAATGGTAAAAAATCATCTTTATCTGCTTCGTCGAAATTTACAACAACAACATCTTCTTCAGCATCATCATCATCCAAAAAGAAAAAGAAAAAAAGTTTAAAATTAGAAGAGAAAAAATCAGAAAAAAAAAAGGTTGAAGAAATGAGTGATAAAGAACTTGAAAGATTGATTTGTGAGATTTCAGAAAAGTAAATAATAATAATAACATAGATAGATATATTTCGATTTTATTATTTAATATATATTTAACATATAGGAGGGAATTATAATCAAGTATTAATATAATATAATGATTTATATAACATAAATTTTAGATTTTCCGATTCTAAACTTGATTCTAAATCACACGATTTTGTTGAATCAACATCTTCTATCATTTCACCAAATCAAAAGTTTTTAACTATAGATACTCGCCTATTGGATGCAGATGGTGAAATGAAAAGAATGTTTTCTTCTAGTATTGTGAGTAAATACCATAACATCATATGTACATATAAAATACACGTCTTAATTTGTGTTCTTATACACATGTGTATATTAATGCAGGTGGATGGCGAGATTCGTAGTCGTAATTATGCAAGAGCAGTCAAAAAAACATATCTTGCCAAGCCGAGACAAACTTGGCCTCCAATTGTTAAAGCTGGTCTGGGAATGGAATTATTAAAAGACAAGGAAGAGGAGAAGGAGAATAAAGAGAAGAATGATGGGATCTGTTATTTTAAATTTACGCATTCTAATCAATATCAATCAGTACAATCATTGTTTTTACAATGTGTGGCAACTCATGGTAAGATCAAATGGATGGAAATTTGAATTTTTTTTTTAATTACTTTGTATAAATTATTATATGGGTGTTAATAATTCATATATGAAATATCAATTAATAATATATTTAATCAATTCATCCAATCATTCAATTATAGATCCGAATACAATATACGCAGTACTTAGAGATAATCCCTATCATATTGATTCATTGTTACAGATGAGTGAAATATATAAAATGTCAGGAGATCACACTATGGCAGCAGAATTTATAGAAAGAGCTTTATATGCTTTTGAAAAAAGTTTTCATATTAAATTCAATATTTCAAAAGGAAAAGTTCGCTTATTCTATGATCAATATGAAAATAGGTAACTCTTATTTATTTACTGTGTCGAAAGAATAAAGATATAAAACTAATATATATATATATATATTTATTTATTTATTTATTTATAAATGTATTTTTCATTTTGTTTTATTTTATTTAATATACTAGATCATTTTTTATTACATTGTTACGTAATATATTATCATTATCAAGACGCGGATGTTGGCAAACAGCTTTTGAGTTTAGCAAATTGTTACTTGCGCTAGATCCAATAAATGATCCAATATGCACATTACATTATATAGATTTTTTGGGATTAAAAGCTCGGCAATACTCATATGTTTTATCGATAACCGATGAATGGAACAATCACAAGTTGGCTGATTTGCCCAATTTTGCATATTCTACTGCTATGGCCAAATTTCAATTGGAATTACAAGATAATAAAAATAATGATAATGATGATGATAATAATGTAAGTTTACCATTTATTTATTAATTAATTGGTTCCTTATTGATTAATCATTTATGATAATAATAATAGATATTTTATTGCTTCAAAGTTGCATAAGATTAGTAGTGCAATGTTGGAGAAGGCAATCCTAAAGTTTCCAAGTGTAGTATTACCATTAGCAGAAAAGTGTGAAATTAATCTCGATAGTGATTTGACTGATAGCCCGTATCTTCATGAAATGTAAAACTTTATAATTTATAATTTATAATTTATAATTTATAATCTATGTTTTATATATAAACACTAATATTATCATTATTATTATTGTAATGATAGTCCTACATCAAATTGCTTGAATCTATTGATAGAAATGTATGTTGATCAAGTTCATCCTTTATGGACTCAACCTGAAGTAAGTTTATGTTTTTACAAATAAATATTTTTATATTTGTGTAATTAATATTTATTTGTTCCCATATCCATCAAAAAAATTTTTCGATAGGTAATTAGTTGGTTTCAAACAGCTGTAACGAATGTTGTTGTGAAACTTCAAATACCAACATATAAAGGTAATGGATTAATTAATATCCTAATAAAATATTATTTTCTTTTAAATATTTATCAATTATAACAATTAATTATAATATGTACCTATAGGATGTTTGAGTGATAAAGAATTCAGTGATACATTTATTTATGGTGATAATGTTAGACAAAATCATTTCACTAATTCAATACCACTTGATCTTTGTAGATACCTCGTAATTTCAGGTACTTGCATATTTTACTATTACTTATATTTATTAATATAATTGCGATAATATTAATATATTAATATATTATTTCTTTTACTGTTATTCTATTAATGATCATTGCTATTCACTATTAATCATGTCCATCCTAATTAATTATTATTATTTCCTTGTATAATTTAAGAAAATTCCAAATTTTTCAAGTATATTCCTGATGTTATAAGTAGTGAAGTTCAAAGTCATGATCCATTACCACCACCAAACAGCACAAGTTCATATAACAACATCAATAATTCACAAAATTCATCGTCGGATTCATCGTCGTCATCCACTGGAACTACCGTTGATTTGCTTCAATATTTGGACATCGCTCCGGTAAACTATTTTTATATGATGTTTTTTTTCAATAATTAATTGATCTAATTTGCCAATTTATATAGAATAGAGGAGATTTACGTACACTTGCTGATCGTATAAATCAAATTGCAGAAGCAACAAATTTACAAGCTGTAGCAGGAAGATTGATGGAAATGATTCTTGGAAGTAACCACAATAATAATGGAGATTATGGAGATGATGAAGGAGGAAATGGTGATAATAATAACGTTAATAATGAACAGCAACAACAGCAGGAAGATGATTCAGTAGAGTATCAACAAATGCCTGGCGTGTTCCCTCAGAATGACGATAATCAGGTAACTATTGTTATCACCTTCCTTATCATGATTATTTATGATTAAGGTGATTATTTTTTATTAATAATTCTTTTTAACATAGGATGAAGATAGTGATTCAATATAGATAGAAAGGAGGAATATTCATATTTTTATTATATAATAATTTTATATTATATATTTTAATATTAAATTAATTTTCAATCGTTATTTTATATTATTTATTATTACATTTTATTTTGTCAATAAAATAAACACACAATTATACAAACTAATTTTTTTTTGTGAAAATTTTATCATTGTCATAATAATTGAATTCAAAAAAATATAACAAAGGATTCATGGTGTAATACTATAAAAGTTGTACGACGATGAACATCTTTATAGAAAAAAAATTTTACGTATTTGACACGAAGGTTTAAAAAAAATTTATTACTTAAATATATATAAATGCTAATTATTAATTAAATTAAAAAACTAATCTATTTTTTATCAAAATATAACCTTCTTTTTTCAAGTTTTAATTTTTCTTTTGAACCTTTTTATGTTCTTTTATTTATTTTAATTTGAAAAAAAAAAAAAAATAACAAAAGAAATATGGTAAGAACTTCATTTCCAGTTCCAAACCAACAATTTCTTGTTGATGAACAATATGAGTTTATTCGAGAATTAGGAAGAGGTGCTTATGGAATTGTGTGGTAAAACATTAATTAACTATTGATTGATTGATTGATTGATAGATTGATAGTTGTTTATTATTGCATTAGAAACAATTTATCATTATTTAAAGAATTTATAATATGATTATTAAATAAAACTTTTCAATTAAATATTTATAAAGTGCCGCGCGTAATATACATACACAAGAGGGAGTTGCAATCAAGAAGGTTACTAATATTTTTAGCAAGACCATTCTAACAAAACGTGCATTGAGAGAAGTCAAATTATTGCAACACTTTAGAGGTCATAAAAATGTAATAGATTTATTTTAATTTATCGCATTGATTGATCACAAAAATTATTTTTTTAATTGAGGTATTTCTCTCTTACTCAATTATAATTTTTGGTAGATCACGTGCTTATACGACATGGATATAATTAGTCCTAATGATTTTAATGAAATGTAAATGGAATATAATAATATAATAATATACTTGTTCTTATTCTTCAATGTATCATTTGACCTTTTATATATATAATATATGTTTGTCATAGAAAAATATTAATATATTATATATATAATTGTATTAATATTTATACATAATCAAGATATCTTTATGAAGAATTAATGGAAGCAGATTTGCATGCAATTATTCGATCAGGTCAACCATTGACGGATGCACATTATCAAAGCTTTATTTATCAAATTCTATGTGGATTAAAATACATCCATTCAGCTAATGTCTTGCATCGAGATTTGAAACCTGGCAAGTATTATGTCATTATTTATACTACCATGCACTAACACACCAACACAAACTCACACACAATAACATACAACATATATATATATATAGGAAATTTATTGGTAAACGCAGACTGTGAATTAAAAATCTGTGATTTTGGATTAGCACGTGGATTTTCAGATGACCCAGCAGCAAATTCAGGATTTATGACAGAGTATGTTGCAACTAGATGGTACAGAGCACCAGAAATCATGCTTAGTTTCCAGAGTTATACAAAAGCCAGTATGTATAATCTATTTTTGGGAAAATAAAAAATACACTAATACCAATACTAACACCAATTGTTATTATTAGTTGATTTATGGTCTGTAGGTTGTATTCTGGCTGAATTATTGGGCGGTAGACCGATATTCAAAGGACGTGATTGTATCCTTAAATTATTTTAAATAAAAAACTTATAAAGTAAAATATTATATATATATATATATATATATATATTCTTAATTATTTAATTACTAACAATAAAGATGTTGATCAATTAAATCAAATTCTTCAAACTTTGGGTACACCTAGTGATGCCACTTTAACAAGGATAGGAAGTCAAAGGGTAGGCATATTTGTTAATTTATTCATTTATTTTGTAATATACTTAATATAATAATGTTGTTATATTGTAGGCACAAGAATACATTCGCAATTTACCTTATATGCACAAAAAAGCTTTTCAACAATTATTTCCGAATGCAAATCCTTTAGGTATTAATCTCATCCTTAAATTGACACACACACATATATAATAATAGATTATTTATTTATTTAAATAATATTTTCTCTCCAAATTTTCAATTCTTTACAAAAAATCATTATTATCATTAGCGCTTGATTTATTAGAAAGATTTTTGACATTTGATCCTGCTAAACGTGTAACTGTTGAAGAGGCATTAGAACATCCATACTTGGCAGTTTGGCATGATCCGAGCGATGAGGTTTGTGCATATTTTATATATATTACATAAAGTAGATATATAAAATAGATGAATAATTTTTAATTTTATTAATTATTATATGTCCGTTCCCCATACTAATACATTTATTATATGCATACTATATGTATGTGTGTATCTAATGTAGCCTGTATGTCCTACACCTTTTGATTTCTCATTTGAATCTGTTGATGACCCTGAACAAATGAAAAGTAATAATTGATAAATTGAATCAATGTTAATTTAAATCAATTAACCAATTAATTGATCATTTCAAATATCCCTTTCTCCTCATTTTCTCCTTAACCTGCACTTCTTCCCTCATTTCCTAACCTTCCACTTACATTCATGCTTCCTTTTTTTTTCCCTCCTATCTTCAACCAACCACTGCCTTCTCATCTCATAATATAATTATAATAGATATGATTGCTGCTGAAGTAGCTAATTTCTCTTCTATGTCCAGACGACACCAAATACCTAATCTTCAAGTATTCACAGGAAACAGACAGAACTCATCAAATCTAGCCAGAATTCCTAATAGAGACGCCATTCTAAACTCGCCTACTGCAATACGTGGTGATCCAGAAGCTCTTGTAGCCGGTCATTATCAACCACCTCCACCTGGCCTCGGTGACAAGAGTGAAGATTTAGAAAGAGAATTAAGTGGTGTTGTGTAATCAACTAATAAATTGTAATAATAGTAATATTAATATTAATTATTATAATAATTAATTAATAAAATTATTTCTAAAAAATATTTTAATAAATATATATAGAATTGATTAATTGATTGAATTGAAGTTATTTTGATAGATTAAAAATTATATATTATATACAAGCATACACGTATATATATTGTATGCATTGGATCTGGAATTATTAATTTATTATTCATTTTCTAGCGTTATTATGTTATTTCTATTATTTCATTTATTTTATTTTCAATAAATTTTATTAAAAATATTTATTTATTTTTTTACAATTAGTAATATCAATTATAATCATTAACTTTTTAAAAGGCTGACGGATTACGAATCAAAATTTTAGATTATTATTATTATGTGTTTCGTAGATTCGTTGAAACGAGGTTTGATTGTATATTTTCGAATATGAAAATTTTTAAAAATTAGGAACATCAGAAAGAAACCATGACACGGCTTCTTTTTTTTCCAATCTTTTATTTGCATGAAGACAATATATATAAAAAAAATTTTTCATGAAATTTATTAAAAAAAGGTAGAAATTCCCAAAGAATTATTAATTATACAAATAATTTAGCTTTCTGTTTCTTGACCTCCTAAGTTATATTCTTTTAATAAAGCATCAATTTCATCAGGTTTATAAAGATGATAAACAACTTTATTACCTTCATCATTTAAACTGATAGTTGAAAATTCCACTGTATAAGCAAAGAAGAAAAATGGATTATTTAATATTTAGTATAATGAATTTTTCGGGGGATAAAAACTAAAAATATATATTTATATATCAATGAATATAACACCAACACTTTTCACTAGTTAAAGTAGTCGAATCCATCGTTTTACTTAAAACTTTAGCTGCTAATTCTTTGGCCTCTTTAAGAGTAATGTTATCTTTGTAATCTTGTTTCAACAATGATTGAGCTGATGCATTGTTAGCTCCAATACAAGTTGCTTTCCATCCACCATAATTCCCGGATGGATCAGAATGATAAAGTTGAAATCCATAATTTCTGTCATGACCGGCATAAATAAAAGAGACACCAAAAGGACGAAGACCTTTTTTATAAATATATAAAATATGAATATGAATAAAATTCCAAATATACATGTGTAATATTAATATATTAACCTCCATATTGTGTATATCCTTGTTTCAAATCACATAATTTTTGAACCAATTGTTCTACTGGAATATCTTCATCGTAAACAAATAAATATTGTTGAGCAGCTTGCCTTGCATAATTTATCAAAATATTGGCATCGGCTGTTATTCCTGCAACTCCACAAACTACATTACTATTTATTTTTTTCAAATTATCAATCAATCTCAATACATCAAAATAAAAAACCAGAAATAGTAGTAATGGATTACAATATCATACTTATTTAACATGTAGATTTTTTCACTTGTAGCAGATTGTTCTAATAATTTAGAAGTTACTTTTTTCTCTGCTGCAATTACAATACCATCTGATGCAAGGATGCCTAATGCTGTACCGGCATGAGATATGGCTTCCATAGCATATTCAACCTGATAAAGTCTACCTTTATGTATGTTATTTTTTAAGCTTTAAATTATTATTTATTTTTTGATAACATATACAATGCAACTATACTGAGAATTTTTAGTTACCCTCTGGTGAAAAAATAGTTGTTCTTGCATCGTATCTACGAGCCATTATAATTCAATTTGTTAAATTTTTTTTTATTAAATTTTTTTTTGATTTTGAAAAAAGAATTTCACGGTAACACAGAATCACATTAACACGTCATCGTTATAATGTCGTCGTCATTTATGAAACTTGATGATATCGAAATAGCAAAGTAATTTTAAAAAACTCAACAATTAAAATCTAGATTATAACATAATATAATATAAATGTTTTTGTCATTATATTTAACTTTTTACTTTTTACTTTTACCACACACGCTTTTATATGCGTATGTGCATATAAAGTTCCAGGAATTTTTTTACGCGTTTCATACATCATTTAACTTCTCTCCAAAAGCATTGTCAATAAAACATTCATGTTTCTCCAACAACTATTCAAGTTCACAACGTCATCATTAATCAACATCACCGTTCTGTTTCAATAGGACCTTCCTTTCCTTCTTTTTCATATTTACATTTCTTCATACCAACTTATAAGTTTAGATGAAGACCTGTCCAATTTCCACCATTCATTGACAAGGACTTTACTTCTTCAGGAAAAGAATAAGATAATGAAAAGAATAATAATGATAATAATGACAAGAGAATATAAACATCATTTTTACATTCTATAGTTCTATAACCTCAACAGCTGAACAAAATAAAAAAATCATCATGATGAAAACAATGGTAAACTTATTTATCACTGATATTAGATAATTACCCTGTATCAAAATTACATCGTTGAGTACGAAGTAATGAAATTGCTGATATCATAAACAATAATATTAATACTAATAATGCTAATGATAATAATGTCAATATTGTTAGTAGTAAATTACAGTAACGATAATAAATATTAGCGGAATCCTGAAGGATAAAAAGAATTTATCGTTAAAAGATAGGATTCAGTGCAATAATGATAACGTGTGTTTGATAATTACACCAATTTACTGCCTGATTAAAAAAATGGAATTCGACTTCAGATTGGTCATTATATCATCTTCTTTTATCAACAATTATGATGACAGGATTTGTACTATTGAATAACAACAACAAGAATCAGATACTAAAGATGATAACACTTGTATTAATAAACAAATAAATCTTCTTACAGTGTATATGTTAATATTTACACAAATTACTTTTATAATTTTTTAATAAAACAACAAAATTTATTCTGATGGTGTATTTGGTTTACCAATGTTCATTGGTGAGTCATCATTTTCTTGTGATATTAATACTGATACTGACGTCATATTCGATTGTTCGTTTAATTCATCCAAGATTATCCAACACAGCTTTTCGACGTTGTACTTGAACGCATTTCCCAACTCAACCTTTCTTTTAAAACTAACTTGCTTATTGAGCCATCGTCATCTGGCGAAATAATGACCTACAGTTTATCAAACAATTCATGCATGAAATTGATGGACGCAAGTAAAAGTACTTGTTATTTGTATTTTATTTTATTGGCTAAATTACTTTTTAAATATGTACAAATTATATTATAAACCACAAACACCACTATTTTTTAATAAATCTCGTGGATAAAACACTTTTGGTTCACCATCAATTTTCACAGGTACGTTCATATCTTCATCAATCACTACTACTTCTTCGCATTTTACTACATTGATTAAATTGTCACCAACATTCCATCTACCATTTCCTTGTATTATTAAATCTATATTTGGGTTACTACTGCCATAATTAGACGTGACAATCAAAGCCTTATCTTTAACGAAAGAATAAATACGCCCATTAATCCAAGCTTCAATTGAAAGCGAAGTGAAATAACTTGTTGGGAGAGTTTTACGAAAGGCATTTATATTAGAGATGAATTGATATAATGGTGAATCTGTTTTATAATTAGATGGCCATAAAGCTTCTCTATTATAAGGATCTTCACCTAAATAACAAGAATAATAAATATTAATTTGTTTTATTATTTATTAAACTATTATTTTTTTTTTATTAAAACAATAGAAAAAAATAATATATATTACCAGTCGGTGAACCGCTAAAACCTTGTTCTGTGCCTTGATAAACAATAGGAATACCTTTAAATATTATTAATAATAACAATAACGATTATTAATATTATTAATATTTATTAATATCATTTATATTAAAAAAAAATATTCTTCTAATTACCATCAAATAATAATACGAATGTAAGAACATTTCTAATCAATACTTGATCACTTGTTAAATGTTGGAGTCTCTATAATTGTTTGAGAGGGGAAAATAATCAATTAAAACTCAATCAAACAATTTAAAACTCGATCAATAAATCAAATCCAGCCAACAAATTAAGACTTACAGGTTTATCATGACAGTCAATAAAATTTCCTAATACACTTGTGTCTTTAAAAAAATATCTATCATTCTTGATTACATCTCTAATTTCATACATATTTGCACCAGGATTTATAAACAAATTGGATATTTTGAAGTATAAAGGATATCCTAATGTACTATCTATAAGTCCTTGATAAGATGCAACAGTGTCTGAATCACTATCAAGAATTTCACCTATGGAAAAGACTCCAGATGATTTTGCAAATCCAATCCAAAATTTATGTGGAATATGACGTACAGTGTCAATTCTGATGCCATCAAAATTGAATTCTGACACAAGCCATTTAATCCATTTATTAAGTTCAGAAACTACACTTGGATTTTCGGTGTTTAAATCTGGCAACGGTAAATCATCTCCAGATATACTGCAATACTCTACATTTCCTGGATCCTAAAAATTATGAAAATTATCATTATTATCATTATCATTATCGTTATTATATTAATAAATTAATACTAATAAATAAATAAAATGTCATTAATAGTAGATATTTACTTTATAGTCGGTGATAGAGCAATAGGAATGATAATCTTCAGTTTTATTAAATGGATTATAAATCTTAACATAATCTTCAGTTCCTGGTTTTTTTCCATCCTGAGGTCCCATATGATTTCTAAATTTACAATTTAATTCATTAATTAAATAATAATTAATTAATTAATTCAAATAATTAATTACATACGCAACAACATCAACCATAACCCAGATTCCTTTATCATGAGCAGCTTTAACTAAGTTTTTGAGATCATCTGATGTACCAAAGTGTTCATTAATTTGATACAAGTCCTGAGCCCAATCTAATTAAATAAAACCGGTGAATAAAAATTACACCAAAAAACAGATAGGATCATTTAACATATAAGATTACACACAGCCATGCCAACCAACACCATATTTAGTTTCTGCTTCTACTTGTTTAACAACAGGACTAATCCAAATAGCATCAAATCCCTAAACAAAAATAAATTATAATAAATATTATGACAAATTCATCAATTTATTAAAATGAAATTAATAAATAACCAACCATATTTTTAAGATAATCAAGTTTATTGACAATCCCATTAAATGTGCCACCACCTTTTTTAAAGCATTATTATAGTAATTATCAGTATTAATAATAATCATTATTGTTATAATATATGTTATTTAAATTAATTTGTTAAAACCCACAGTAATGCCTAATTTCAGGTTCATTATTATTACTACATAAAGAAGGATTCTCTTGACCAGGAGATTGAGCAAATCTATCGGTCAGTAATTGATAAATAGTTCTAGATCTCCATTCATCAACTGTGCCAGCAGAAACACTATTCATAGAATGAATTAATGATAAATTAATGATTAAGATTATTGATAATAATGATTCTAATTTTAGTTTTAAATCTTTCATTTTAATTATGATAATGATAATAAAAAGAGATTTGTAAAGGATTGATTAAAAACATGACAATTTCGAACCTTTATATACAAAATATATAAGTCCATTAACATCCAAATCAAGAGATAAATGGAGGCTTTTCAAAATAAAAAGTGTTTTAGTATCTCTGTTGAAAGCCCCAAATTAATTAATTTCTTTTACATATTCGGCCATATATGCATATATGCAGATCAAAATTAATAATAATATTAATAATAAATATATTTAATAAATATTTAATATTAACCGCGGATCGCGTTTAGAAAGTATTACAATCAGGCGCACCGGAGTAGAAAAGTTTAATAATATACTGATACGTTTAATTATATTGTTTTTGACCGTAAATTAGAAGGAATCCGAATGGGAATAATTGATGATGAGTTTTCAATGACCCTTTCTTGTCTGTAGCAAGAGGGCCAGAGGATAATATAAGAGGAACTTGCACTATGCCTATTCTCTTTATATATACAGCAATTACCAAAATGGTAGGAGTGTGGATCAATTGAAAAAAAATAATTGCACCAAACGATTATTTAGAAGTCGAGAAATATTTCGTTGTAGTCAAATTTTGGATTTTTATTCTATAGCCAAAGTATAGGTTTAAAAATTAGTATTAGTAATTCTCATAAGTGTCACTATAATTTTGCCGCCTGTTAGAGAATAATAAAAAAATTTAAAAACGAACTATTGTATTTATTATACTTCTTTAAATTTCCGTGATATTCTAATACTAATACTAACAATAAATAATCACATTCTACCCGATCATGATGCAACCGAAATACAGTTCAAGGCTAGAGGTTGGAATCGTCCAAAAAATCCTTAGTAGACTACTAGTTGGTCAAAATTTCTTTTAGTCGATTATTTTAGTCGACTATTTAGTCGACTAAATTAGCGTGTAACCATTTTAATTTGCTTCGCAAAATGGTCACGGGAATAACTTTTTTTTTAATTTGCAGATTACAAATTCATCTCCATTTGAATCTTTAATTTTCTCGAAATACTTCCATACGAAGCT